TGAGCAACTCTTCTTTCTGATTGAAATATTATTATGCCGTGCGATGCCGTTATTTGGAACAATTTATTAATCGAATGGAATAACCTTCTACACAATCGTCTTCTTTAGAGGCCTAAAGCAACTATAGATGGTTCGCACAGTATTCCAAAAGCCCGTCACCCTCTTTGTCGCTACGTTCGCTTGAGTTCGATACGTTACTTCGTTGAATTAATAAATAAGGTGTTGTGAATGTTGGTATTTAGACCTAATTTTTTAAAATCGAGGGGGGATGAATCAAAGACGTAGTTCACCTTCCGTTTCGTACGGCCCTAGACGGAAAGCAAACTTGGCAATAATCTCCCTCCGTGCTCCTCAGCCAGGATATAAGGGAGAGCAAAAGGATATAATAGCGTTATATATAATAAATCAAAATTTAAGGAATTAAGGTGCATAATGAATACAGTGGAGATAAGAACATGAAAATACAAGCAACAATAATAAAAACAACAAAAAAAAATGATGTTAGCTGTACATACCTTTTAGAAACAAGGAGTAGACAAAGATAATATTGTGCGGGAAGAGGAAAGTAAGTGGTATATCAAGTAAACAACGCTCTAATCGCATGGTTGCTCGCCATGGCGTATTATAAGCACTCCCTACTTGGTTTAACGCTCCGACAGCGACTGTTTATTATTATATCTTTGTAGCTGTATTTTGTGCACTTTTTGTGTTCTTTAACTTGTCGTGGTAATGATGTACTTCGTTATTGCATTGTTACGAAGCATGCCACGCATCCACCACATATAAGCATGTTATAAGACTTATAGCAAAAATATCTTTACTATAACCCATTTGGCGTGTTCGATATCTCATTTACTTTAATCTATCTAAACAGCCGTTTTCATATGCACAACTTTTAGCAGGTCTTAATATTTCTGAGTATATTGGGCTAAGTTTAACTCCTTTGGGAACGTTAGCAGCGTAATGTGGAGTCACTTGACTAGAAAGCCAAAACTACCTATTTTATCATACATTTTGGTAAATACTTCACCTTCTTTTATGAGTATTTGTGAAGCCGAATAATTAGATTTGTAATCATTCTTATGGTTTATTTCCAAGGTGGGAGTGTTTTTATACTGTTTAGGATCCTGTAGGATTGTTCCGCCCTACAACCTTGCATGGTACAAGAATATTTCATTCATAAATAACTATGCCGAAGTTGAAGTAAAGTTGGCGATTATTCTTTCTATTGAGTCCCGCTCGAGCTTTAAATCTGACCACAAGATCGAACGATCCTTAACTGCCACGAGCGTTGCTGTCTACAAGCCCGATCCGCTATAATTGCTCTGCGACGTTAGCTGCCCAGAACTCGTCCGACTTGCAGTCAACGCATCGATGCCTTGTTTTTCCTTCGAGAGATCATAAATCGACTCTCGGAGGATCGCTGTAGTGATCGCCTTGGAGAGCCAACAATTGCTACAATTATGCGCCGGGAGGGCGAAAATCCCTCGATGAGACTTGTTTTTTATGTTCAATGGTGTAAGACATATGTATGTGTGCGAGTAGAGTGAACAATGAGATCAGGCATACATTCGGATCCAGTCGCCCGAAGATGCTTATGACATGACTGGGGACTTCTAAGAAATGGTCAGCCCACTAAGATTTATTAACATAAAGTTCAACAAAATCCACCATACTACCCTTGCCAGTTTGACATTCCTCATCAGACTTAGCCCGTTCCGATCCGATCAGAGCAATTTTGTTGACCTTTGCTTACAATATCCCAAAGACTGCGCAATTTGAAATATGCACTTCAACTGCTAACTTCTCTGAGGTTGCTTATTGTTAGACCGAGAATTAGAGGATCTTTGCATAGCAGATGACGAATGAGTCCAACCATATCGCCGCACGATTCACCTTTGTGTATTGGGACGCCGACGAATAGTATGCTTTCATGAGAGATCCAGACGGCTACAGACACACAATCTCGTGCAACGCCTCTTTCTATTACTTTATCCCTTTATCTCCTAGAATCTGCCGATTTTCACTTTTTCTTCGTCATTTTTGTCAATATCGCACTATAACTTCCATTACTTCACTTAGGTTACAGACCTCAGAGTTTCATAAACTGTGCCCCTGAATAAAAACGACAAGTTATGAGCTAGGGGGTCTGCATTCTGTTATAGAAGGTGATGAGAGTTAGAGTAGCAACTCTTCCATTTGAGAAAGGTATGCATGACCGTTATCGAAACATCATTTCTGAAATCTATTGAAAATAATTTATTCTGGCAGCACCGAGATCACTCGAATGCGTATAATCAACGGAAAGTACAACATAACAAGGAACACCGAAGAATGACATAAACAAAAGTCGTTAGAAAATCAGGTCTGAGGAAATTAGAGATGAAGAGTTTGAGACACCTGTGTAACAGAAACTGAGGTACATATGATGTACAAGGGGGAAGAACTGCTATGTATACGTGTATAAAGCTCATTGAGCACCGGATTCTAACGACCAGAANATGCGTATAATCAACGGAAAGTACAACATAACAAGGAACACCGAAGAATGACATAAACAAAAGTCGTTAGAAAATCAGCTCTGAGGAAAGTAGAGATGAAGAATTTGAGACACCTGTGTAACAGCAATTGAGGTACAAACGATGTACAAGGGGGAAGAACTGCTATGTATACGTGTATAAAGCTCATTGAGCACCGGATTCTAACGACCAGAGTAGAGTATCTCGCATGGGAAGGAACTGGTGAGAAAAAGCTTCCCATGCAGAGAAATTTACATGAATCTCTACAGAGTAGGATGCTATTGATCTCACAAAACTCTAGAGGGTCTGGTTTACTTAGTCTCACCAGTAGTTATGGAATTCTGAGAACACAATGGAACGGAAGCAGCCTTGATCAGAAACAATTAGGCATAATAAATAGATCATTATTATAATTATTGGTCGTCCATTTGAGCGATATAGTAGACCCGTCAGCGATTTGCTAAGTGTTCTAGATAGAATCTGAGATAAATGATCTATGACTTGTCTTCTCACCAAGTACTATGTGATAGGAAGAGCGTTTCGTATCAGTTACCGTAATCAAGATGATATTTGGGAATATCTATTATATTTGAAAGAGCTATGTAGTTAGATACGGAGCATTTCCAAGATCAAATCCACCTGTGAAACTATTCTGAAGAAACCGCGCAGGATCATTCCCGTTTGCCTTTCTACTATGGGCAGAGGTTCACGGCCCTGTTGAACAGTATCGGGGCACATCATGGCGAAGCTATTCAGATGTTACGAGGTACATGACGTGACATAGGCAGATGATGACAATCTTGAGGTGTATCAGAGGAACGTAACATGAGGATCGGTAGCGATTTCTTCAAGGATGAGTGCTACCTGGGAGTCACACTCATTCGCTCCTGGAGGCAGTTTCATCGAAATCGGAAGTGGTCGAACGACATCCGGCATCGACGTGTAGAGACTCGCGGGACGNGCACATCATGGCGAAGCTATTCAGATGTTACGAGGTACATGACGTGACATAGGCAGATGATGACAATCTTGAGGTGTATCAAAGGAACGTAACATGAGGATCGGTAGCGATTTCTTCGAGGATGAGTGCTACCTGAGAGTCACACTCATTCGCTCCTGGAGGCAGTTTCATCGAAATCGGAAGTGGTCGAACGACATCCGGCATCGACGTGTAAAGACTCGCGGGACGTCTTCGGCGGACATCGTTCGCTGCTACCAGATCCGGACAGTTCTGATCGCTTTCGGGAAGTGAGAGCTTCTTGCCTGCAGACAAAACAATCATTTTTTCTTATTTCAGGATCTCCAGCGGTTCCATGGGAATTATATTCTCAAAGACTGCAAAGAATGTTTCAAAATTGCGCATTTTTGGATGCAAGGAAAACCGGAGAGCTTGAGGTATCATGCGCCATATATGGGGTACAACAAGTAGATGACCATAAAAAGGTTTTTCTTACCGAGCTCCGTTTTGATTATAGGCAGGCAATTGTTTTCGTTAAGCTTCTCCACGCATGGAAGAGGTGGGAGCGGATGTATCGTTGACGCTTGAGTACTGCCCCGCGAATTCTCCTCGGCTGAAAATCCATAGATCGCTAAGAGAGCACATCACAACGGTCACCTCAGAGCACTACACGTTTCTCTAACCGACCAATATCACATTTCAGCATAACCAAAGACACTGTCGCGATTGATTGGTTAGTGAATCGATAGACAGGGGGTGGGATAGAAACGAACGAATGGAATCGAATGGACATGACAAAACCACCCACATCCGGGTCGATATGAGGGATTGGAGGAGGTCGAGGTGATAGGTTTGTAGTTAGGAGATCCGTCTTGATTGCACGTCAATTGACTGAAAACAGCACATCACATGAGGGTTGGTTGGAGAAATAAGAAAAACGAAAAACAAACTAATTAATACGGTATAACTTCCAGAACAAATGAACCTTGCAATGGCCATTGAGGGTAAGAATGGGAAAGCTTGTAGGAAAGAGTAATTAAAATTGTAAAAAATGTATGAGCGTAGGTTGATTCTCAAAATAACCATTGAACAGCTGCTGTTCATGTCGTACCGCTTCCATTCTCAGCATAAATTCCAAGCGTGTTTGCTATCCTCAGAGTCTCTTACGCTTGCAACATGTATGTAGTACTCAAAGAGAGCGCTACTGGTAATCGAGAAGCTCACGAAGTTATTCAAATTACTAAGTGGAAGAATTTTTTGGCTCCTTTCAGAATCACAGAGATTCTATCAGTAGAAGTTTTGGTTAGAAAAAGGCAACAAGGGGGAAACAGTCTAGTCATAACCTTCCTTTTCGGAGAACAGCGAAGGTACAACTTCACTGCATGCTGCACAAAATTCATGTCTATGAAGTCGTGCAAACATCCATAACGAAACATGCCCACTGATTAATTACGAGAACATCTCATCGTTATCACTGGTTGACGGACATTTTGGTATGAAAAATGCCGATAGATAGTAATGTCCTACCTCATGAACCGCATTTGTTGGTTCACTAACCGTCCAACAGCCGATTGCCTCGTCCTTACATTCTTATATGGTTGGAATAATACAATATACACCTAAAATAATAGTTTCAAAGCTGAAAGTAACATGAGGGATGGATAGAAGAAAAAAAAAACAAAATGATCGTTGGAAGTGGCGAAGTCTACTGTTCTCATCAGGGGAAATCTTGCTGTTCTAAAAAAGTTTACTGGGAAACAGCAGTTGCTTTCATTCATTTTAGCGGTCTACGGTCGGAAGGATAGAGGCATTTATAGAAAACGCAATTTGAGCAATTTTTTCGAAAATATTATAGCTGTTCGCCCTTCCACATTCACTCTACACTTTTCGGCACTTGGAGGCACAGTTCACGATAACTTTGTAGTACTCTTTTCTAGTTGAAAAGCGAAAGCATTGCTGTAGAATAGCAAATGAGATTATAACGACGGAAGTGCTCTGGTAGAGAGCTGACTACATTAAGCCAAAAATATCCAAACAGTCTTCCACTGTCACTGTGGGTCTCGACTACGTAGCTGTTTGGATTTCTGACATGGATGTTCCTTGTGAATGATGCAGCCTCTTCAACGCGCCGGTTCACAGTTCGTACAGGGGGATATGTCAGAAACCATTTTTATCGTGAACTGTTCTTTTGATGGGCGAAGCATTCACATCAACTTTCGTCGATAATGTGATGTGATCAGTGCGAAGTATGGGATTAAGGTGGCCCATTTCCTGAGTTCCCACTACCTTCTTACTCGATTGCGTAGGTATAATTAAAAGGATAAAAAAAANAAAAAAAAATGCTTTTCTCTCGTACTGATTACGAATTGGAACTCAAAATCGTAGCCGTTCTTCAAAAATGCGGTGAACTTGAAAGAACTATAAAAAAAAATTAAGTGAACATGTTCGAGTATGATTTCTGGTACTAGAAGCTGGTAGATATGCCTATAAGAGGTACTGAGACAAACTTGCAAAATTAAAATTAGATGAACAAGCAGCAACAACAACCATTGAAAAGTCATACCTTTGGAGCAAAAAAGCACACAAGTGCCACCGTACCCGATAAGGAAATGCACATACAAAGTGATGTGATTTGGATCTGAAATAAAACATGGCTAACAAATTCAATCGGTCACTCGAAGAGGAAAGTTCCGACAGAAGAGGCTCCTTGTAAAAGTCATCTTGTTCGTTACAATACGCCTGAATCACACGCCACCCAGAAAAACGAAATTTCTCAATTACATGGAGCAGAATTATGTAGTGTGGCCAAGAAGCGCTTCTTAGGATTGTTCTGAGGACCGACTTGCCAAACCTTCCCTCACTGTTCCACTACTTAGATAGTGAGTTCATTTAGAAAAGTGGGTACTCCTCATGCTCTTATACACGGGCTGGAGTAAGAAAGAAGCTGTTCTGAGGACCGACTTCCTCGGCCTTTCCCTCTCACTATCCCACTACCCAAATACGTAGACGGACTGGAAAACGAAGAAAGCCTCGCGACTACTACTTTTCCGTTTATGCAGTCCACCAGTGAAAGGACTTACTCGAAAATTATTCTGTGTGGCGAAATAAATAGGTCCGAACGAAAGCCATAGTATACAAGTGCTGTACATAGTAAACCCAATATGCCGGGTCTCATTGAAATTTTCTGGAATCTTCCGTGTTTTGAAGGCATACACGGTGCAGGCGACAATCAACAACAGATTGTACAGCAATGAGACGAGCAAATGTGAGGCAGTAGCCTGAAAATAGACATAGTGAAAAGATGTATCCTTCCCACTGATGTAATTGTACCAAACCAATCCTACTTTGCAAGTCAGCACCGCCTCCGTTCTAGATGGGAACACGATTTTCGTACCGGGCGGATCGACGAGTAACCAAACGACGAGGCCGATCAGTTGTACAGAAACGATACAGGCACATATACCGACCTGCAATTGGGGACTAGGTCAAAGCTGTACATCAAAGGCACTCAGTAACTTTCTAAGAAGGTGCTATGCAATAATTGTTAATGATGACCGACTGACTTGTGCTCTAGGGGTTATGAACCGTGGTCGTTGGGCGCTATCCGGCTTGAAGACTCGTGCAAGTCGATTCGTCTTCGTAATGATGGCTGCATAGATGGCCGACATCGACAATCCCATCAGCACCTGCAATGAAGCCACTCCTGTAAGCATTCAAACTGTACTGCTTGACTCTGCAGTGCAATTGAAGACACCTATAAATCATAAAGTTTCATATTACCTGCTTTTAGTAGGTCTCGTGCAGTAGTTTCAAAATACAAGCTCTGCTTGGTGAATAAACCAAACGGATAGAAGGGAAAGAGGGGCAACGGACCTCCAATACGCTATGAGTTTAATTGNGATGGAGGCTTAGTCGCTTGGACTGAGCAGAGCGAGAACCGATAAGGGATTCCATCCCGTACCGTACAAGTAATAGTGCCTCTTTAGCACTAACCATATTCACCCTCCATAAAACAAATACAATTATTGAACATTCTGTCAAGGACTGAAACCACAACTGAGCGACTGTTCTCGAAAGTTTAATTAATGCTGGATTGCAATCATTTTAATGTTAAAATAAGCGATACTGCCGTCAACGTGGGAGCATGAACTTATTGACTTTCGATAATTTAGAATGAGCTTACCCTAGTTAGAGCACATGTGGGAATTGAAGGTTGTGAGACGAGGAAGAACGTAAGGATGTAGCACATCGATATACCGCTGATCATGCAGTAACAAAGCTCTCGTCCGGATGCCATAATCTGAACAGAATACTACGTCACTTTCCCGTGACAAAGGTTATCAATTGATTCGTGGTGATTTGCATATCTCGTGACGTAATGAATAATGACTGATCGAATGATAATGATTGATGATAGTCAACAATCATGTTGAGTTATGCTTGCTTGTCTCTCTTGATGCCTGCTAAATATGGCATATTTCCGTGCCCATCCAGCTTCCGTAAGTGGTGCTTAAAGAACAGAAGGAAATGCTCGAAATGCCTTATGTGTAAAAGCTGATGGTATTGGCAAAGACCATTGGCAATAGTGAGTTCAGCATGGAATAAATTTCTAGTATTGTGAGTTGACGAGGGCATCAACTTACGTAGCCCAGCTTGAGAGAAGATGTTTTGGAAGTTACTACTCAGAGGGGTATGCATCAGTGTGCGCCGTGCACAGAAGAGACGTCATTTCCTAGTCCTGAAGAGATTCAGGAAAAAGTTCAGCAGGGAGTAAAATTCCAGTATTGTGAGCACAAAAGTGACAAGAAGATCGAATTCGTTAGCTCAGTGGCGTAAATGATACGCACAATGTTTGGAAAGAAAAGGCTAGGACCGAGGTTGTACTTTACATTCCTTCCAATATAATAGTACCTAGGGAATCTACGATCCAATACTGAACCGAAAAACAATATTTGAACATTCAGCAAAGGTTTCAAAACACCGCTAGTTTCTGATTGGTCGACTAAACTAGAACTTTAGTATATTTTTAGAGAATGTGAAAAAGTAATAGTACTTTTTCTATCGCCAAGTTGATATTGATAGTCTCTCCTGGACCCGCCTTCAACAATAATCTACGTACTGGTGGGCAATCGTCCGGACTATGTAATACAATGATAGACAGGTGTTCTTACCACTGGAGTGTTGGAAAACTTCAGGAACACGCCAACGACGAATGTTGTAGACGCCAACCCGAACAGTGAGAAAGCAGCCGGTACCAGAGCCCATGCGGAATCCCATCTAGAGTAACGAAATTTGGACAACTGCTGAAGTGAAAATTGTAAAAGTTGCTTACTGCATAGACACAGGCGGTATCGGCACACAGTAACTCTGCGTCGAATCCGGTACTTCTCCTTCGGGACACATATCACATCTTAAACAATTATTAGTCTATCGAATAGCAGGCGATCAATAATTGATTGAAGGCATAAGAAACTTTTTTAGAATTTCCTGACCTTGTTACATTGATGATAATACTGGTAGCTGTGTCACATGGAATACAAGCCCAACAGCATGTTTGATCTTGATAGGCTCTGAAAGAGGATTGAACATGGGTCGGTACTCCTTCTGGGAGCTTCCACGATGGAGCAGAAATCTGGGTGTACTGTAATTTCATACCGATAGTGTCCACGTGGGCAATCCACTGAGCAGACTGAATAGGGGCTGACACCTGGTGGTAGACGGAAACCGCGTCTAACTTGCTCAACACGCACCTCGAACGAGTCCTCAGAAGACCGCCACTTGCCCACCTAAATTGAAAATTTGAAGATGATTCCCTGTATAAAATGTGTACATTACACTTTGTAGTTCTTCAAATGGAAAATTCTTGTCGCTGGAACTTGGCACTGTTCCTCCCTATGGGTGAACTTTCACTTTCAAGCTGGGAATCGAATTAAAAGGGTTCTCCATTCAGGCAATCATCAAATTCCATACCACAAAACATGGCCCATTCACGTCTCATGAATGGCAATATGCGAAGGATTGAGGAAATTCTCAAACTGGGCAATTATAAAATC